TCCAGAATGGTCCTGTATTTGGCTCCATCCATCTTCCCATCAAGTTTAACCATCTTCCCTGTCCCTGCTAAAGAAAAGCAGGCCCAAACCATGATGCTGCCACCACCATGTTTGACAGTGGGGATGGTGTGTTCAGGGTGATGAGCTGTGTTGCTTTTACGCCAAACATAACGTTTTGCATTGTTGCCAAAAAGTTCGATTTTGGTTTCATCTGACCAGAGCACCTTCTTCCACATGTTTGGTGTGTCTCCCAGGTGGCTTGTGGCAAACTTTAAACGACACTTTTTATGGATATCTTTAAGAAATGGCTTTCTTCTTGCCACTCTTCCATAAAGGCCAGATTTGTGCAGTATACGACTGATTGTTGTCCTATGGACAGAGTCTCCCACCTCAGCTGTAGATCTCTGCAGTTCATCCAGAGTGATCATGGGCCTCTTGGCTGCATCTCTGATCAGTCTTCTCCTTGTATGAGCTGAAAGTTTAGAGGGACGGCCAGGTCTTGGTAGATTTGCAGTGGTCTGATACTCCTTCCATTTCAATATTATCGCTTGCACAGTGCTCCTTGGGATGTTTAAAGCTTGGGAAATCTTTTTGTATCCAAATCCGGCTTTAAACTTCTCCACAACAGTATCTCGGACCTGCCTGGTGTGTTCCTTGTTCTTCAGACTTACAGCTGTAATCGCAGCAAAAGGTGGCGCTACAAAGTATTAACTTAAGGGGGCTGAATAATTTTGCACGCCCAGTTTTTCAGTTTTTTATTTGTTAAAAAAGTTTGAAATATCCAATAAATTTCGTTCCACTTCATGATTGTGTCCCACTTGTTGTTGATTCTTCACAAAAAATTACAGTTTTATATCTTTATGTTTGAAGCCTGAAATGTGGCAAAAGGTCGCAAAGTTCAAGGGGGCCGAATACTTTCGCAAGGCACTGTATATTTAAAGGTTTTTGAATGGTGAATTTTTTCCTTCATTTATTACTTTTCAATATTTTTCTTCAGACTTAGTGAATGTAACCTCTCATATGAAAGCTGTGATGCTCTGGCCTCAGTTCTCAGCAACCAGTCCTCTAGACTGGTAAAGCTGGATCTGAGAAACAATGACCTGCATGACTCTGGAGCAAATCTGCTCTCTGCTGGCCTAAAGAGTCCACACTGCAAGCTGGAAATTCTCAGGTTAGAACAGCCTATGATGCCTTTGTGTACCAATATATTATACCTTTACAATACTATACAATACATTTCACCTGTGTTTTCATATAACTGTATCATACATGGTCGCCAGTTTCCTATGTTGGTTAAGCTACATAGGCTAAATTTTCCACAGTCTACCTCCTTTCAAAATATTATTTTTTGTAGCTGATATTTATGTCACAGAACTCCTTTTCCTAATTTTTAAAAAGAAATGATTTGACCAATGACTTTAAGGAATGCTTTTGGAATGAAAATAAGGACACTAAAAGTATAAAAAATGTTCACCTTGTTAAATTAATGCCACCTGTTATAGGCAAAGGGAGAAGGGACCAGCTTGTGGAGAAAATCTTACTCTTATTCATGTTACACTTGTAGTCAGAGATAATGCAAAATTTCTGATGCAGGTGAGGACCCTAGGCAAAGGGAGAGCGGGGTCTGAAATAAAAAATGATAATGCTGTTGGAGCAAAGTTATGGCAAGCGGGTCCACAGTAAGAGTCAAGAAGAGGTTTGGAATGGGGGCATAAAATTTTAGCCACTCTTTTGCCTCAGCTGTAGAACTAGTCAGCTGCTAATCTGATCTGATATGATGAGAGAATTAGCTTGTAGATCTGTCAAGAATATAGAGGCTTAACAAGACTGGTGCATAATTAGAAACTGAAATAACCTGCTACTTTAATATGAGCAGGCTTAAATGTTAAGTAAAAGTTTTTGGACAACAAAGAAATAATTTTTATTTGCAAAAAGGAGTAATGCACTGGAGAAAAAAGTGCTATGCATCAACTGTATATAACAGTTGTATAAGGGGGTCTGGAAAACTGTGGCAGTTCCAAGATGGCACCACAGAAGCCTGCCTCAGTTGTGCACTTTCTTGCGTTTTTGCTGCTGTTGTCTTTGTTGTCGATTTTTGTAATCCATCTGAGATTACATTCACCAGAGAAAAGCTCTTGGACAGGTTCACAGAGTGGCTCCCACATGTGTGTCATTACTTGCAGAGCGTACTGGAAGTCAGTTGTCTTTTAGCTCATTATTTCCATCTCAGCACTCTCATCAGCAGCAGTGGGCAGCGTTTTTCAGGGAAGAGCTCTGATAAACTCACTGTCCAGCACTAAAAAAGTCTACCTTTGTTAGGGGTTGATGTCAACCAAACCAGAGCTTACATTCATCAGGTGGACACAAATTATTTCAAATGAATGCTCAAGTTGCCCTGTGTCTGTTGAATGTGCACATGGGCAACTGCTAACATGTTCATTATAACAACTTTATAAGATGATAATATCAAAGCTAGAAGCTGCACAGGTCTTGACATTGGCATGTTGTTTGTTAGAATCAATAAGCTAGTGCCAGGTTGTTCTTCCCTCTTGCAAATTAAATGAAGTTCCTGAGTTTGTAAGAGTTAACATTATTTATTTGGCGAGCACCTAAATGCATAGTAAAAACATGTTTATTAGTCTGTATTGTTAAGAAAAATCTTTTTATGTTTTGGTCAGGCTGTATGTCAGCAGGTTAGGCGTGTTAACTTTACAATATACATACAGTAAACATATAATATACAATATACAATAAACATACATTACTGCCCAGGTCTACCTGGGCTTCAACTCTGTTACAGATACTGTAGGTGATTTTGAGTTATTAACCTTAAAACATTCTAATACCAGCTATTGTTGTACTTAGCTAAATAGTACTTTGAACGGTAATGTGCTCAGATTGAAAAAATGAACAGACTACATAGTCAGTGAATGAGCAAAATGACTGGGAATTTCCCCCTGCATTTCTATACCAACAAAATACAGGAAAATAATAACAGAAGAGCCATGCCTTTGTGAGCATGTGACACAACAGTAATACTGCTATTGTGCCTTGTTCTCTCTCCGTCAGATGCCTGTGAACTCTCACTGGACCCAAACACAGCACACAGGAGTCTGAATCTGTTAGAGCACAACATCGTGACAGATTATCAGGAGGAATGGCCATATCCTGATCACGCTCAGAGGTTTCAGTGCTGGCACCAGGTGCTGTGTAGCAGTGGTCTGACTGGTCGCTGTTACTGGGAGGTTGACTGGGATGGGCTGGTATCTATCGGAGTGACTTACAGGGGAATCAGAAGAAGTGGATTCAGTGAGTACAGCTGTATTGTAGAGAACAGCTACTCCTGGAGTGTGGACTGCTGTTAGTTACCCTCACATCTCTCTTAATAGATTTTGGCTGCAGGGTTTATGGGCCCTGAATTGAAAAAGTGACTTGACCCACGCTTGTTTTGGCCATGAGTTTGCAAAGTTTTTTTTTTCTTTACTTTATTAAGGCGTATGACAGTAGTTATACATAAGTAAATAGATCAGAAACAAGAGGACTATAACATAAAATAAAGAACATAAAAACAAGAACAACGTCATCTGTTATATTGCCGTTAATTTCAAGATGATGAATACTGTTTAATTTAGAGCGGTGCTTTTCTAACCTAAAAAAGTATGCTGTGTTACTTTCTCCCTCCTCAAGCCATTTTAATCTTGACCTTACAAAAGCACCTTCTGCTTTAGATTTATAAATCTCATCTAATTTAAGTTGCATTAGAGACAAATTAATTTTATCATCGTCTGTATAAGTGGCAGGATATTTACTTAGAAGAGATAAAATGTTTTTTATTAAAGTCTCTTCTTCTAATCTTTTAGCTTTAGCTAAAGATTTGCCAAACGATCTCAAATAGCAGGCGGCCTCAAACTTGAACAGTTCCCAACTTTTACAGTAACAGTTTTCAACATTAGCTTTGCGTAAGAAATGTGAAATCAATTTAGAGATTGTGACTTTAACTGTTTCATATTTAAGTAGAGCATTATTTAGAGTCCAATAAGATTTTCTGTTATAAGGGTTTGATGACGGTAAAAGATTGAGTGAAATGCTGATTGCTTTGTGATCTGTTAATGGTGTTGGTAATACTGTAACAGAGATATATTCTGAACTAACATCATCGGACACTAGCCAATAATCTAAACGAGATTGTCTTGAACCATCATTGTTAGACCAAGTATAAAGGGTATCTTTAGGAAACTTCTTTCTCCAAATATCAGAGAGATTAAATTTATCCATAAAGGATTTAAAAGCATTGTTGATAGAAGAGTTTCCAGGTGGCCATCTATCCAGTTGGCTATTTTGTACCATGTTAAAATCTCCTCCAATTATAATGCTTGCCTTGGGAAATTTAGATGTCCAGTCATTTAAAATATCTTCTATAGAATCTAATAGTTGGTCATTCTCAGATTTTCTGTTATACCCATAAATGTTGATTATGAATATGGTAACATTGAGATAAAGAATAACATTACAGACATAGTGACCTTCTGGGTCGCATTTTGACAAAACTATGTCTCCTCCAAACTGATTCTTAAAAGTGAGCGTACCAGCTGAGTGGCTGGAACAATGTGAAAACCAACCTTCCTCACCCCAGAGTTTGCAAAGTGTTCATGCACAAAATGCAGAGATTCTCATTGTCAGAGGTGTCTGAATCTCTTGGTCATTGGGCTTCATGGGATGCAGTGTTATAATCATCCCCATCCCCAAGCAGCCATTACATAACTAACAGTTTTGGCAAGTGGGGTTGAAGTTAGCATAACTGTAATGATGAAAACTAATACAAAAAACACTATGGGTAACCTACAATCAAATATTCATTAACTGTCTAAATTTTCTTCCTTTTATTCACCAATTATTACAAAGGTTACCAGTTTTGAAATGTCCTTTATGATAACACACCGATGCAATGTTTACTAGATAAACTGCTCCGTCTTTTAATCTTTTGTTTTGAAAGACTTGACCGGAACAGCATTTTATGATTTGGGCTAGCCTGATGAGTGTCCCAGTTGAGTTTAGTGGTTTGTGGTTGATTTGGTTAACCAGAAGTGGAATTAATTTTGGGCTAGTATAATTCAAGAACTTCCATATGCCGAAGAAAAGATGGTCCGATCCGAGAGGGTTGAAAAAGAACAACAGAGACGGTTGTGAATTAGCGTTAAAAGTCACGTCGGAACTAAAAAAGGAAGACAATGAGTCGAACCAGATGGCATTTATCAATCGATACCGTTGAAACTGAAGATTGCTTTCTAGTATCACTAAGCTCGTTGTTTCATTAAAAGCTACCTGTTTCCTTTCTGATTCCCGACTGACTTAAGGGTATTAGCACACTGGGTGTAAGTCAAGTGTGTCCTCTTATATTTCGTGGTAAGTGCTGTAGAGAACCCCGCTGCTATTCTTTCGGAAGCTATTTCACTACGCTAAACTCCGCTGCAGTCTTTCCATTTAAAGTGCGTTTCTTACACACTGGTTTCGTGGCTCTTATAACATGAGAGTGAATCGGATTGGAATAGTTACAAAGTACTCTTTCAGTCCTAGATGTAACTTTTTAACAGCGTATATTTACGTAAAAAGCTACTTGGCTTCTCATGGATTTCACACATTCAATGACCTTACCAAACCAAACAACACAGTAAATGTATGCATGTACTGTAAATTCACTGAAAATAAGAAGACTGGTAAATATACGTATGCCGAATTTTACACTGTCTCCCGGCGACTCATATGCTATAATGAAACGTTATCTTACATTGTGTATAAACGAGCCGATTTTAAATGATTGCTTTTTAAACGGAAGTAGCATAGCTCTTTAGTAGCGTAGCTAAGTTTTGCCATTCAGCAATTGAAGGTATTGGCTACAAGTAATTCAAGTTATCAGGCACAGAGACTGTTGTGTTCTAAGCAGATTAGCTGCTAGGCTTTCTCATTTCATCATGGCCTAATTTTACAAACGTCATGGGAAGAACTGGCTGGTCGAGCCACAGCAAGCAGCGCGTGGAAACAGCTCAAATGTTCCTTTTAAATTTTAAACTCTTAAAATGTGAAGATTAGGCTATGTTGTTTGAGGTGTTGAAGGACTGGTACGAACATGCCTCTGAATAATTCCTTTTCCTGTGCAGGATTTAATGTGATTTTCATGGTGTGAGGATGGGACAGGGTGGTGTTGGTCTCTGCAGCCCTGGAGGTTGAACCTGCTCCATCAGCCAGTCAGGATGCGCATAACTTCTGTGAGTGTCAGCAAGTCCTGCTTCCTGTTTTCCCTTGCATTTTGCGGACTCCTGCTTCTTCTCATCCCAGCCTTCCAGCCCCCAGCCTCCCTCGTGGACCTGCCTCAGCCTCGACCCCAAGTCAGACCTGCACAGTTGGGCCCATCATACCACACCAGGGTTCCAGTGGTGTCTGTCTCTGGTGGGGCCACAGGGCTGAATGGCAGCTCAGCAGGGCAGGGGCGAACCACTAAGATTGAACTTACCAGGAATGATCATCTCAGTGATGATCACAGTTCTACAAGAGAGGCGGACTCCAAAAGAAGCCCAGAAAGAGGAGTTCTTTCAGGAGCAAAGGGGGGTGAACTTTCAGAGTATAGGCCCCGTGACTCGTTAGACTTGAAGGATATTTTTATTGCTGTGAAGACAACCAGGAAGTATCACAAGACGAGACTGGAGCTCCTCATTCAGACCTGGGTTTCCAAAGCCAAAGAACAGGTGAGGAGAGCTGGAGTTAGGCCCATTTGTTACTGTGGATGTATCCTTAACTGAGATGTGCCCCCTACAGGGCTGGGCCAGCCTGCAGGCCTGATCATTGTTTTGTGTAGGACCCTTTGCAGATGCCATACAATGAAATTTAGTTTTCTTGTTGACGACTTTTAAATACTTACAGGAAGAAGGTTTAGTCTGTTGTTGACCACATAAAAATGGGAGAAACAATTCACCACAATTTTAAGTCATTAATATTCAGCTAATGTGACAAAACATGTTTTCATGCCTTAAGGATTTTAAAACACAGTCAAATGACTGACATTAGTCCTACAGGAAGTATTTCGTATGACGCATATGACTAGTTCGGTATTGAATTATTAAAAGCAATTAGTAAGTGCTTCTGCTGGACAAAGAGCCTTGGTGTGGAGAGAGGGAGCTTTAAGTGCAGAAACACTCTGCCCCACTTCACCCAGAATGTCACAGTCAGAGAAGATGGAGGGTTTCCAGTTTGGTTTGTGCTCCCAGCATCAACAGCTTGACTCATACTGAGTCTGAGTCCTACTTTGCTATGAAAGGGCTCCAGTGTGAGTCTGTTCTGTGTTAGCTGTCGGCTCTAACCAGCCGTTTACTTCCAGGTACTGGGGAGCATTACACACATGTTCCTGCCAGTAAATTTAAAAGCTGTTTATACTCATTTGTATTTAATGTTGATGTGCCATGTGGTGTTGGAGAAGGTATCTTCACTTAAAGACAGATGGTTATGTATGAGAAGCCCAAGGTAAACTGAAATGAGCCCTTTAACTGGGTGGCCCATTTGAGGATGTGTGAAGGTTAGTCTGCCTGCAGGGCTTTGAGGGGGCTGAACATGCATGTCTCCACCTGCTGTACACTCCACATCACTAACTGTAAATGTAGGGGTCTGTAGAAAATGACTTCACTGTTGGAGCTTCTGCCATAAACTGGAATTGGGATGTGGGAATAATCACTTAATACTTCTGTGTAAAGCCAATAGATAATAAATCTAAGTGTGACTTATAGTACGACTGTTCATGTGTTATATGTGTCAGTCACCATTGTCCCTCTTGCAGGAATGGTATTTGAGTAACAGGCTTATGAGTTTGAATGTTTATCAAGTGGCAAAATTAGAGAAATGTCTTGTGAAACAAAACTTGAAGGGACCTTTATCACAGCAGATATTTTAAATTTCCAAGCACATGTACACCTATAAGATAATTGCTTTATTGAAGTGCAGTAACTTTGGCTGTAGAGAAAACTTGAATTATTAGTGACCCCTGTATTATTCCTGCAATTGCAAGCCAGAATGCGCTGTGAAATATTTCTCTGAATTTGATTCATTTGGGAATGATGAAACAGGAGTGCTGTGATACTAGCACAGCTGTAGGACTCACCAGATCTGTGCTTTGGTTCAGACCTCGGTTTTGAGCCACAGTTCAGGTCATATCTTTGTTTTTTGGCACACTGAAAAGTAGAACACCCAATTCAGTTACAGATTGTGTGATAATTTTATTGTAGTTTGTGAAGAACAACTATCAGATACAGCTTTTCAGATGACAGTCCACAGCTGTAACAGCAAAATAGCTCCAGAATGAAAATGGCCATGGACACACTAACATGTATCCCCTTCTCTGTAGTCTGTACTACAGTTTGACACATTTGGATTGTTCAGATTTTACCTTCTTTCCTCTGTTTCAGCCAGACCTTTGCTTTTTTAGAATGACGTTACTCTTGTAAAATACAGTAAGTCAGCAACAGTCCACTACAGCTTCCTCAGTGTTTAATGGTGATAGAGACACATGCAGGTGCACAGAGTGGGTCTGAACTGACTTTAGATAGTGGAGGGAGACGGACGTGAGAACAAGACTGGATTGTGCCATTTGATCACCACAACACAGCCACATCTAAACCGTTAGCTATTAGCCGAACAAGCTCACTGTTAACACACCTACAGTGGATGCAGGTGAAGCTGAAATCATCACTTTTGTGCAAGTTAATGTTCCTTTCGCGGGTGTTTTAAATAAACAATTCTTGCTGGCTTTTTACTTGCGTAGGTTTTAATGCACATATATGGATACACGATACCGGCTGTGATTTCTCACTCTCTCTTCTCTCCAGGTGAAATATACTTGTTTATAGCAAGAGTTTTGATTTCTATAGCTAATTTCCCCTTCCATGACAACTGTGCAGGAGTGGATTTTTTTAATAACTCCCCCGTTTAAATTGTATTGAGACTAAAAGCTGTGCATTAATTAAGGGCATGGGCGATTTAAGTGACAGGCATGTAGAGTTCTTTGGTTTAAAGTTGGTGCAGTAGCTGTTGTCTCACAGCAAGAAGGCTCTGGGATAGTTCAAGTTCAAAGTGTTTATTTTGTCATATGCACAGTTAGGAAACGTGTTTCCCTGTACAATGAAATTCTTACTTTGCCGTCCACATGAATGCCACAAAATATAAATGAAATATAAAGTAGATACATAACACAAAATCTAAGGCACAAATTTTGTGTTATTTATTTATCCAGATTATCTAGATAGAGCTTTGCAGCTGACTGGGGTCTTTCTCTGTGGGGTTTACATGTTTATGCCTTTGTGGGTTTTATCTGGGTACTCCAGTTTGCTCCAATCAGGAGTAAGTGGTTGCCTGTCTTTTTAGCCCTTTTTGGATATGCACTGGAACCCTGAAATGATTTAGACAATACCCAAGGGAGTATTTGCACTAGGTGAGAGTGTGTCTGCCATGGACTATCTCCTGTTGTGTGCTACGTGCGTGAAAAGGAAACTCGGCACAATGTCTGGACCTCATATGTGAAAATGGCTTGCGTGTCAGCCCTGTGATAGACTGGTGACCTGTCCAGGGTGTACCCTGCCTCTTAAGGCTGTGACACACCAAGCTGACAGTCAGCTGTTGGCTACTGTCGAGCTGTTGGTGAGTGTCTGTTGGGTCTCGTGTTCCCAGTGTGTCCTGCACTTTTGGCACTACTTGGATTCTGTTGGTGGCTTTTCGGCAGATTTGCCATGTTGAATCAGCATTGGCCTTGTCAGTGAGCGAGACCAGCTTAGCGAATCAGTGCACAAGAAGAGAACGTTTGGGAAAGCTCCTTCAGCCTGTCACTGTAGTACACAGCATTTCACCCATTACAGTAGTGTGGTTTCTCCTTGTTTTTTACCTCTGTGGACTCTCTTGTTCTTCCACAACCAAAAGACCAAGGGCTGAGAACAGCAGTGTCATTTGTAACTTCTTATCAGACATATTCTCGATTAGAAGGAGGTATAAACAGCAGCTGTGTTGGACAAGAGCTGTTTTGTTTGAAGCTTGTGTTTCTGCCGTCTAGCTCTTCTTCTTTCCCTTTCTGGATGCTGAATACAGATACTACCACCTGCTGGTAGGGGGAAGATATTTCTCTCACAGGTGCAGAACCTACTGTATGTTGGCCGTTGGTTGTAGTCTGTGTGGCGTGTGCCACTTTTTAACTCGACTTGCCCAAACAAAGCTGACATGAGGCGACGCAACAGTTAGCCTATGTCGTTATTTCTTTCACGTCGTCTTGGTGCGTCTCTGCCCTTACTCTATGCTGGCCGGGATTGGCTCCAAACCCCCCACCCCCCAGCCTTCTAGAAGATAAGCAGCATATGTAATGGATGGATGGGTGGACTTGGTTTAAGTTTAGGTTAGGGAAGTAGTGGTTATGGTACTCCAGGAAATAAACGTAAGTTAATGTAAAATCCCCATGATGGATAAAAAACTAAACCTGTGTCATTTTTGCTTTGTCTTTAATCTTCCGCTTATACAGTCATGTTCTCATCAACTAGAAAAAACAAAGGAGCTGTTCATTGTGTGCATGAATGTTTGTCTACTGTATGTGTTACACCAACAGTTTCTAACAGTATGTCTTTGTTTCAGACATACATATTCACTGATGGTGAAGACAAGGAGCTGTGGATGAGAACAGGTGAGATTAGGGACAGATCTTAAAACAAAAGATAAAATAAAGTAAAACAAAAAAAATGAAATTCCATGGTCCACTATTGTGTGACCATAGTGCAGTGACCGAGCAAATCAGAATAAACACGAAGAAGTCTTTGTTGCAATAAAAGCAGGTGTTTTTATTATTTTGTTCACCACTTTTAGTATATCGGTGAGCTAGGTCGAGTCACAAAACACCTCTCTATCTGATGCAGTCTAGTTCAGCAGCAGCACGATCTGAACCTCCAAAATGATCATCCACTTGAATCAGCACCTGAAACTTCATGAGGGATGATTTATTGTTGGATTAGACAGTTGGATTAGACTGACCTGGTTCTAAATTGGTGTACTTGATGAACTGGCAGCTGTGGATCCTATAAAATGTTGTAGTACGTGTTACAATGACAAAGGATCATCTTATCTTGTTCAGTGTTCGTACTTGTACATACAGCACATATGTCACAGGCATATGTAGTTATGTGCATGGATGGAGACTGGGCTGTAGCTAATCATTTTAATAGTAGATTTACCCATTGATTACTTCTTTTTTCAACATTATAAAACCAATGAATTATTTTAAACAATGCTTATGCCCTGTTTTTATGCAATGCATTATTAAACAAAAATGATTTGTTCAAGAATAGTGTTTATAAAGTGTAAACGGGTCCTTACAGTGTTAACAAAAGCACAGTTTTTTATGATTGAAAATAATTCAGGTTGTATGTTCATAAACCGTACCGTGATAATGTAAATGGCCAGTACACATGACTCTGACTGCTGACAGTTAAAAGTAAATTTGAATATGCCTAAATAATCCTTAGCACATTGACTCTTAAACTAGGTACTCTGCACAGTCTCCGTTAGCTTGCATGTGTCCTCGGTGTCACCGCACACAGCATAGAGCTTAGTTTTGCTTATAGTGTTTAATATAATGCTTGGCTGTTCACTCTTGTTTAAATGAATGCAACACAAGTGAAAATGCATTTAGCAGCCTACACAATCCATTATTATGTTCCTAAATATATAATTAGCATCATAATATACTTAACAATGTTACTTAAAATCAGGTCTATCATTTTCACAATTTCTTACATTATTAACTAAAATGAATGACTTGCTTAATGTTAAGCTCCTCTTTTGTAACGTGAAGTCTAATGTCTTTTCTTTAGCCGCTGATGTGCAGTACTAGTGTCGTGCTCCCCTGCCACGACAGATATTTCGCACAGTTGGCACCGCACAGTCTTCTGTCTGATTGTAAAGTAAAGTTCTCCCAAACTTTAGACAACATGGTCATCCACTTTTCCCTGCTGTGACTGTGCTCACTACTACTCTCCACTGCTTCTGCCATTTTTCAGACTTTGTGATACGCCTCACTAACATACTCACCCAGTATTCTTCTCCTTCCTCTTTTGATTGACAGCTGGCAAAACAGCTTGTAGGTGTAAAACCGCCAACTACTGAACTGGAGTGTGGAACAGTAGCACTCACCCGGTCACTGACCCAGCACTGTCTGCTCTTAGCCGTCTCACACAGCGACGTGACTGGACCCAACTAATGGATAATGAAATCTCTTGTCAACTATTTTGATTATCAGTTTTCATTGATTTGTTGTTGTGGCCCCAGATGGAAATACACATTATTCAAACTAAGCAGATAGAAGATGGGATGGCAACATTCCTAATGTTTCTCCAGTATCAGAATAATCTGCAACAGTATAAAAATATACAGGTACTGTATAGGTGCAGTAATAAAAGTATAAAAACAACTGAGCTATGTTCTCCTCGTCTGTTTCTTTCCCAGGAGTTAACATCATCAACACTAACTGCTCAGCGGCTCACACCCGACAGGCTCTGTGCTGCAAGATGTCTGTGGAGTATGACAAATTCATTGAGTCTCAGAAAAAGTGAGTAAAATGTGATCTTAACCTGGCTGGAATAAAGCAGCCAAACAGCAGGGACCCACAAAACAGCAGTTAACTGTTGACATTCTAATAACAGCACAAGTTGTTATACACTTAGTGCTCCTTCACACACTGCAGAAGCCACAAAATGATTAACACCTATTTGTTTACAAATGAAGGTACAGCGCTGATGGTGTATGTGTGTTTGTATTGCAGGTGGTTCTGTCATGTGGATGATGATAACTATGTGATCCTGCCCAGCTTGCTGCAGGTGCTCTCCTCATATCACCACAGCCAGGACGTCTACCTGGGCCGGCCCAGTCTGGATCATCCTATAGAGGCTGCAGAGAGAGTCAAGAGTGATGGATCAGTCAGTCAGCTTTCACTTTACTAGGAGTTTCTGGCTCTAGTAACTGACAGATATAGCTGCAAGCATTGTTTGTTTTTATTTTGCCCTCTGCAAATTGATAAAGTAATGTTTCTAAATCTTGGCTACAGAGTATCCCAGCAGAAACCTGGGTGATGTGACAAAAGAGCTTTTATGTCTTCACACACTTTACATCTGACTGATTTAGCTGTTTGTCTCATTTCAGGTGTCTGTTAAGTTCTGGTTCGCCACAGGTGGAGCAGGTTTCTGTATCAGCAGAGGCCTGGCACTGAAAATGAGCCCATGGGCCAGGTAGGACATGAACTCTGGGTTACTCGCATACAGTAGCTGTGAGCAACAGGAAAGATAGGTTCCTTTGCTTAATTCACCATGTATTTGTAAATGTAAACGCAGAAAAAACCCCCGAGGAACTGACCCCACACTCTGAGGTATTGTTACATTCACCCAAGCATGCAGTTTTAGCCATGGGTACTGTTTTTCCCCTTTCTTTGTGGTATAGTAAATACAGAAAAATCTGACCTGTGCTGAGGGAAATGGAACAACTTCTTAGAATGTGTCCTTGTTTTTAGTCATAGATAAAAACACTTGCACTTAAACTGGGGCAAATATTAAGTACAAGTAAATCTTTCTCCCTAAAAGCAGTAAAATTGTTGAGTAGCTTCTGAACCCCCCACCCCCAAACACACACACACACACACAACTAGCTGAGCATTTCTGTCTAACCAGCCGTACTCTCCGCCTCTGGAAGTTTCCATTTGAATCAGCCTTGAGTACTTGTGATTTCTGACATGGTCGAACAACATGTACAAACAAGTGTGTTTCAACCTGGCCCTAAAGTGAATTCCAAGCTGTTAATAAACTGTTGGTGTGAAAACACACTTAGCTAGGCTTGTTGAGTGAAACTGTCCTGCGGTTTCAGTTTGGGGAATTTCATCAGCACCGCAGAGAAGATCCGACTCCCAGATGACTGTACCATCGGCTACATCATTGAGGTGCTGCTGGAGGTCACCCTAACGCACACACACCTCTTCCATTCTCACCTGGAGAATCTCCAGAAACTTCCCACTAACACGGTGCTGGAGCAGGTGAGTGTGTGTGTATATACATGTTTTTTGCAGCTTGTTTCATGGCGGTTGTAGTAAGTGAGACAGAGAAAGCTTTGCCTTTTAAAAGATGCTAACTTTAAAATATCATGAAATGGTGGCATTAAAAGATTGATTACTTCCTACTGGCACTTTCTTATGACTATGTGAGTGTCATATTAGCTTTTATCTCAGGTGAAGCCAAAATATGTTTTTTATGCAACAGGTGACTCTCAGCTATGGTGGTTTTGAAAACAGAAGAAATGTGGTCAGCATTGCTGGAGGCTTTTCACTGGCTGAGGATCCCACAAGGTAAACACATTAATAGCAGCACAAGTTGTTATACACTTAGTGCTCCTGCACACACTGCAGAAGCCATAACTGTTTTATTTATTTTTATTCTACACCTGTACAATTGTATGTACATCAATGGAACACTTTGCCTTAACATCTGTGTTTATGAAACTCAAAATGTTTTAAGTTTTGGCTGAAATTGTCAAATATTTAAATTCAATGATATGTTTATCGTTGAGGTCATAGTTAAAGGTGTTGTTGTACTGGACTACGTTATATTCAGAGATGTATATATTTTTGTCCTGCCCAGCTACATACATGAGAGGGTCAGAATATTAGGCTGTACAGAGTGTACTAACCTCTGCAACAGCTGGATCCTAATGTTAGCTTAGCTAGCCTTACTAGCTTGCTAATAACGTGTTAGAAGAGTTGGACTTCCATGACTGACAGCATCATCTAAAAAAAAACAAATGCAGAGAAGAGGAGCTGTTCACAGATGGTCCGTGATCATGGTTGTCGTGTGTGTGTGTGTGTGTGTGTGTGTGTGTGTGTGTTTGTGGACTGAGGGACTGAGTGAATACATGTGCTATGCATGGCACTACATTGAAATAATATTGCACCTATTTTAAATGAGTATGTGGTGGTCAGTGTTGATATTGTGGAGACCCACCACAAATCAGTGTATGGGAAACTGTTGTGAAGCATCAGCATTCTACATGTATGTGGGCATCTGATTGTCATGGGACATGTAAGCTGCTGATCAAACAGCTCCCATTCTTTTGGGAAGGCTTCGCACCAGGTATTAGCTTCATATCAGTCACAAATGCATTAGTGAGGTCAGTCGCTGGTTGGCATGTCACTTCATCGCAAAGTTGTTGGTTTGTGTTGAAGTCGCAGCTTTGTGCAGAACAGTCAGGTTCTTCCACACCGAACTGGGAAACCTGGGCAGTACTGGAAGATCAATATTACACCTCACTGGAACTATGGGGCCTAGAGCAAACCAGGAAACAAAGGGATGTGTCCACATATTTGTCATATACTGTAGCTACTTACATTGTGTACTGCGAAGTGATATTATATAGAAAAGTGCAAGCTTTAGGTCAAGTCAGGACCTTTTAGAATTAGTGAAAAAACTGACTGGGACAAACTTGAAACAAATGATGCAGTTTTATTATTTGTAGGACTATTGTTAGGTTGTTACTGTGGGAAACAGTGAACCCTTGAACTGTGCTCTTTCTCTGACTCTCCCCTCCTGTCTTGCAGGTTTAAGACAGTTCACTGCCTTCTGAATTCAGATACAGACTGGTGTCCAAAGCTCAAACCTCACCACAAAGACTGAAAGCTATGTTGTTTTGTCCTGCAGCACTCATACATTTTAAACCTTTTCCTACTGTCTCACTTTGCCACGTTTGGATGTTTGGGTCGAGCTACATGTAGCAAGGAGAATTTTGCATTCTTTATCCAAAGCAGCCTCACCTCACACTTCATGAATGAGGAGGTGGAGCCAAAGAATGAGCTAACATAATAACATAACCTCAGTGTTCATCACCAATAACCTCTTATAACCATGTTATAACATCATGCCATGGCCACTGTATAGAACTGTTTTCACTTAGTAATCATGTGTGAGGCATGGGACTCAGTGTTGGAGTCATGTGGTCATTGCAACAGCTGGGAAATAATGCCACATTTATATTGTATCAAGGAAGGATTACCCAACAGACCTATTGGGCACTGGCCCCAGAGGCCTGGGAGGTCAGGGGGACCTCTATATAATGTGACATTTAATATGCCTTGTTTGAAAATCATTGAACTACAAATAATTGCAAAATGTCCACAAAAAGACTCAAAATGACCACAAAGTTAAAAAATAGATCATAAAGAGACACAAAGGAACTGCAGAGACCTAGAACTGTCAAAACGAGATGGGAAAACTGCCAAGAAGAAACTAAATAGTAACGGAGATCCAAGACTATTGTAAAGAGACAGAAGAACTATAAATGCACCCTAAATCACTGATGGTGCTATATACAGTAGAATTGGGTCCCTCATAGTCCATCCATGTGTATGATTCAGTATAGTCATTATTAGCCCAGTGGGAGCTGAATGGGAGTTGTCATTCAATTAGTGAAATTCATTTATCCATTGAAGTTCTAAGGCAGGAGTTTAAAAGTGGGAGTTTCCACCTTTATCCTTATCCTATTATCTTTTATCCCCTTCTGTCAAGAGTATGTAAATAAAGCATAAGAGTTAAAGAATATTCATAACTCTTTGCCAGTGCAGTCAAGAGCCAACACTCCAGTTCCAGTTTCTAAATTGACTAAAGCTGCTGTATTTAATCTCAGTGCTCCACAAAGCACAACCTCCAAGTTAATGGTGTAGCAGCAGAATTTGCAGTTCACTGTAACTGGATGTTTTATTTCTGTAGCTCTTTGGGACTCACAGTTAAATTCCCTTGTTTGTTTGAATTCTTTTATATATATATATATTTGTTCACATCAATGATACGGTCGATTATGACGTCAAATTCCCTGCTGAGCACCTGGTACAGAGGCTGGCACTGACATGGCTCAGGAACGCCGTACCAAGGCAGGATCAGCTGAGCGCCGGCACACTCAAACTTGCTGTAAAGACCTTTTTACAAGTGGATACCAAGGCTTGTAAACTTCCTTTTAGGCTGGTAGTTAAGGCACAGCGCTTTCGCCACGGCATCCCAAGTTCAAATCCAGGTTGTGTCAGGAAGGGCATCCGGCGTAAAACACGTGCCAAATGTCAACATGTGAGTTGATTTGCTGTGGCAACCCCGAAACGGGAAAAAGCCAAAAGTGACATTTACATATATATATATATAAAATGCAGTGGGTTGAGCCAAAGAATCAGGCCAAGTAATTTTGTGAAGCTCAGTGATAAAGTGATATGTACTTTAGAATAGCCTGAGCAAGATGCATTGAAATTCTGATTTTGGGCTCAAACATAAACCTAAAGTAAGATATGTCCAAAAAATAAATAATGTTGATAGAAAACCTCTGTGCAAGGTTTACATGCAAGGGCCCACATTTATTTCAGTCTGTTGTAATTGTTCTGATGCCCACATAATGTCAGCCAAATGCTTTCTTTTATTAGCCTATTTCTAACAGGCCCACTGTGTCAGTTCCAATGTTTATGACCATCATTACATGTTACATTGTTGATCTAAATGGGAGTTAACATCTCTCCTTTTTTCTTTCTTTCTTTGCTCTTGCAATTTTTTTTGGGGGGGGGGGTGCATACACTTATTAAATAGTCTGTTGGAGTGACAGTGCAGTCAGACCAAAATCTGAGGTACAGGAACATGTATGACTAGGGATGTAAACACACCCTGCAGAAGCTAGCATGGCTGCTAGCAGCAGTCCACAAAGCTATTCATTATACACAGTGTTTAATCAGACGTTTTACTGTCGACCAGTGTCACTGTCCTCCCACTCACTTCCAGCCAAACAGCATCTCTCCTCCTCTGCTGCTTGGATTATTTCTGTGTGCCGTTATGAAACAGAAATATAAGCAGTTGTTCTTTCCTGAAAGAGAGGTCAGTCCCACCCCTCTGTCAAACCAGCTGGACACTGGAAGAACTCACCATTTTGCAGGTCAGACTTCAATTAATGATTGAACTCTAGAGCAAAGTGAAGGAAGCAGTTCAGCTTTTGACCAGAAGCAAATGTGTCTCATCCCTTTTCCAAAAGAAATGAATGTCAGGTGGATTTTGGTGTGACTGCACTTAAAGACTTGAGTGGGTAGAGCCAAATATATCTCAGCCCCACTGCCTTAACATTTGGTGTGTAAGGTACCCAGACAATGGTTTCTAATCTTTTGACTGATCCGCAGGAACATTTTCTCTATTAGCTGCTGAAGGGCTTGCCATGAAATTCAGGTCTGATAGTAACTTTGGTGATCCTCTGACTTTTCATTGAGTGCCATTCAAATCAGCTGTAGTTGTATTGAGATTAGTGCTTGATTAGCCAGTGTTAGCATGCTAACACTAAACTGAGATGGACTTGGTAAACATTACAAAGCAGCACAGTGTTTAAGTAGGCTCACAGGCCTTGTATCTAGCTAATATTATACTTTGACTTTGATAAACTGGTTCTTTGGCTCCACCTACTCAGGGTACACAAACCAGCATTGGTATTTCTGTTTTTAAAAAGTATTTGTCTAAAACACCTGTCTACCTTTCTGCACACAGGACTAGAATCCAAAATCCAGAGCATGTCCCACTGCAGGTCAGTGGGTAAGACTGAGGGAGCGATGTGTTCTTGAAAACTGTTTACTGTTGATGCATTGTTATGTTTCAATAAGAATAAAACATTTCTGCGTTCTCAAGTGTATTTCATCATGAGTATATGTTATTAAATGGAGGTAATGATTTCTCAGTAACCTGTATCTTATCTAAAATCATATCATCACTCTTTCAGCTTTGAAGAACCAATAAATCCACACTTTGATCAAATCATCACCATATTAGACTGGTGAACTCTATTGGGGTAGAAAGAATAGTGACCAGGTCCCTGAAACAGATTTCAAATATATTTTTTATACACCTGTGCTTTTCCTCCTATGATGTGTCATAATGTCTTCCACAAAGAGGTCCACTGAGAGAGTCTTTTGAGGCCCCTGAAGACGTATTGCTCCCAAGAGTACAGCACTTATTCATCTGTGTTCTTAACCTGCTCTCTATTTTGCTATGCACTTCCATGCCACTTCATGCACCCACAGCCCCACGTTTCTTTAATCTGTTGAAACATGAAATGAGTTTTGTGGCACTATTTGATCTGCTGTGATTTGGATTGTAGCTACCTCATGTGTACTGGATGTTACAAAAGTATATGAATAAGTGTAATTTAAGTTTTATGATTTCTGATATGACATTACCACACAGTAACATGTAGTATCCCAGCATACTAGGTCATCAGGCACAGAGAGTGGAAGGAAAAGGAGGCTAACAGGAGCTCTGGGCCACACTTTAATCTATGTTTAAACTATTTTGATCTTTTGAAAATTAACCTCCTCTAACCCTCCTGAGTTAGGAGGTCCCAGACCAAAACATTTCTGTTTAGATACTTCTATATTCTGTGCACAGCGGTTTCTGTGTGCTCACAATGACTACACAGGACTGCTCTGGAACAAAAGTGTTTTGATGGGGAGCTGTGTACATGTAATGCTGGACCTCAGCGGAACACAGACACACAGCTTCCTGCAGCCTGCAGCCTGCACTTTGGCCCGTAGCGCCGCGCTGCACCGCTGGTGAGTATAGTCTCCACTCAATATCACAAACCACAACTTTGCCATAACTTTGAACTACTATTTGAATGTAGGGAACATTTGGGAGCATGTAATATTTAGAGGAGAGGTCAGGAGGTTGCAGCCCAGTTTAAGTCCCCAAACCCGATGGAAGGCGAGTCACATGACTTCTCTCCAGTCTGTAGGCTAATCTGTCTTGTTGCATTGTCGATCTGCAGCTGGTCTCCGCACAGAGCCGACCATGGAGGTTTCATTTGCAGGAAAACGAGCTCTGGTCACCGGAGCTGGAAAGGGTAAAGACAACTAACACAAATACTTGTATAATAGGTTTTGCTGTGTACACTGTCACCGCCAGGTTTGAAAAACCACAGACACCTCTTCAGCCCTGGTGGGGCCATAAGATCTGAGTGTGTCTGGAGTTCAAACATTAACTTCACACAGTAACCTATAAGTACCAGATACAGTTTTAATCAGCTTGTTTCCTATAGAAAAGAAATGTGGGGAAATGTTTACTCTGAATTTAAGTATCGCGAGATCTCACGAGGCTCAAATGTGACACTTACGGATGATTTAGTGAAGAGAATCAACAGTTTAGAGTCCTATGAGGTGAGGAAATCACACAAAAACTACATTGAAAAGGGAAGTGATGGTTTTTAAAACATTTTGTTAAGCTAAAGAGTGACTGCTGAAAAAAACTTCTGGTTTCTAGGTCGAAGACGTTTCACCTCTCATGTAAGAGGCTTCATCTAAAGAGTGACTGGGCTTCATATTTTTAAAAATATATTTCAATACTAGCTCCAATGCTGTGTTTAAGTTGTAGTACTGGTATTGCAAGCATTCCCAAAGTCTTGTCAGTTGTAATAAAATGGAATAAACAAAAAGCTTTGTTCAAGGAGTGTAGTGTGGAATAGCTTGGAGTGGAATGTGTGTGAGTGTGTGTCAGCTCTGGTGTCACACTCTCTAATAAGTCTTTGTGTTTATGGATTTTTTTGTGTCCCAGGGATTGGTAGGGCCACGGCTCTGGCTCTGGCACACAGTGGGGCAAAGGTCGTGGCAGTCACACGCACACAGGCTGACCTGAACAGTCTGGTACAGGAGGTTGGACACAACACACACACACACACACACACACACACCCTGTCACCTGTCTAAGGGTCTCTGACCCCTCCACACCCTCCTATGTTTTGTCTGTCTCACTGTGCACCGTGGGATATATTGTCTCTCCTCACCATCTCCTTCATCTTCATTACTACCACCCAAAATCAGAAGAAGTTGGGATGTTATGTAAAATTAAAGCTATCAGTCACCTGTTTCCAATGGAATCATCATTTCATTGTTTTACCTCGTTGCTAACCCTGAAATACAACATCCCAACTTTTTTTGGAATGTGTTGCAGACATCAGAACTGAAGTGTGTTTATTTGGAACAAAGAATAAACTTCATGAGGCATCACATCAAATAATGCGCTGCTGTGTTGTTTTCAATCTAATACAGGACACAGATGATTTACACGTCACTATGTTCGGTTTCACTTTGGATTTAACTTTTTTCTATTTTTGGGGTTGTAGATAAAGTGGAATGAATACCTCTCCTCTGGCTGATTGATTTGTTGTCGGTTTTCATATGAGCTGGGTTGAGTTGCCATTACAGCACACATTAGGAATTTACATTTGTGAGCTCACAGCGCAACAGGAGAGACATGACAACCTTCACCACATCATATTATTAACAACAGGCAGGTGACAAATCAAAGGAAAAGCCTAACTAAATGAGTGGTGTCCTCCAGGATGACAGCGTCCTCACCCACAGGGCACGAGTGGTCATTGTGAATCATGTGCTGGGGCCTTCACAGTCACCAGATCTCAGTCCAGTTGAACAGCTGTGGGAGATGTCGGGAGCTATGTGTTAGACAGCGTCTCCACCACTATCATCAAAACACCACATGAGGGAACATCTTTTGGAAGAATGGTGCTCATGCCTCCAGTAGAGTTCAGAGACTTTGAAAGTCAATGCCAAGGTGCAGTGTAGCTGTTCTGGTGGCACATGATGGCCTGGCACCTTAGTGAGACACTTTCTGTTGGGTTTTTTTATGGCGCCCATCTGTGCTTGGCAGTGATTGGAATTAAGATTAATAGTGGTTTATAAATGCCTTTATTATAAACACATTAACATAATATTTACACATTCCTGGTTTTCCCTTCTCCTTCATCTCCTTTTCATATAATGTGCACCAACATATCTGGTTTTGACTTTTTCCTCTAAGTGTACGTCCATCACCCCGGTGTGTGTGGACGTAGCAGACTGGGAGGCCACAGAGGCAGCCCTGCAGGATGTTGGCCCCATCGATCTGCTGGTGAATAACGCTGCCATTGCCAAACTACAGCCGTTTCTGGAGGTCACACCTGACCAGTTTGATCAGTAAGGCAAATATGAGAAACCTTTGTTAGCCCCATCTAAGAAGATGCAGTAGCAAGTAATCACAGGATACCGCACAATGTCAGAAGTGTTTCATCAGGTAGTAACCTATGATGTTGACTTTGATCTAAGGTGTCTTTCATCTCCAGGTCATTCAGTGTGAATGTGAAAGCTGTGCTGCATGTGTCCCAGGTACAATAGTAGCTCTTTTAAAAGACCAGCCCATGTCACTGCACTGTCTTTTTGTAGATGATGTGACATAATATGCAAATATTCTAAGCGACTACAAGTTATGTTCAGGTTCCAACTTGTTTGGAGCAAAATACTTCACAATTTTACTTAAGTTGACATACTTTACTTTCATTTATGAGACTTCAACAGTGCAAATTGTATATATAAAAATATTAATAAGCCCTCTGTACTAAACACAGAACTGAGTCTGTGAGTCTTCCCCAGAATAATAAAGAATATCAAAATCGTTTATTTGTACATGAAAAAACATTTGTTCTGGTACTTCTTGACTTTAGTGCTCCATTCAACATAAAAACATAGGTTGGGCTCTCTGGCACGCTTCTCGACTGGTTTTAGTCTTAACAAAGAAGTCAAGACTTTTTCTTAAGGAAGTTCTTTTCAAAAGCAGTAAAAAGTGTAAGCAGCGTGCCCCAAGGTTCTGTTCTGGGCCCCATTCTTTTTTGTATGTATACATGCTGCCATTATCACAAAAGTGGAAGCCGTGTCCACTGCTACGAAGATGTCACACAGCTCTTTATTTCTGGGTCAACTGGTGATGATCTTGAAAATGAAATTTCTGAAGTCAGTGATTGGATGGCAGTTTTTTTTTTGTTTTTTTTTGTCAATCATAGTTTAAAAACATTAACACCAAACTCGGGTTTTGATTTAAGGTCAAGTTTGCAAAGCAAAGCTTTTATAGGCTCTACATTACAAGCATTACAGCTTGAACCTCTCCGATAAACTGCAAGTAGATAAGAGTATATGAGTTTGGTATTTTTCTTTAGTAACACAATTCTTCAACAAGTTCCTTCTGTGCTATCAAACATAGTTTCTGTCTCTGTGGGTAGATAGTGGCTCGTGGTATGAAGGCCAGAGGATCAGGAGGTTCTATCGTCAATGTGTCCAGCCAGGTCTCCCAGAGTGCCGTGAGAGACCACGCTGTCTACTGTGAGTAACAGAGGCACAGTTAAGTGCCAACATTCACCTGCAGCCAGGTTGTGAGTCCTGGCCTCAAGCACAGTACAGACAAACAAAGAGCTTCCCAAATGTAAGTAGCAGAGTGATGGTAACTGAAAATTGTTTCTGTTATTTCTTTGTGTCCCTGTCACTGTTCAGGTGCCACTAAAGCAGCGCTGGACATGCTGACTAAAGTGATGGCTCTAGAGCTCGGACCCCACCAGGTAGCATCACACTTAAGTCCCTTTTCTACCAAACGTCCTAGTGACTTACGTCCAGTTTAAATCTAAGATAATGTTGCTTCATATTTCATTATTTCATTTTACATGTGTATTTGTCTAAACAGCCCTAGCAATTTCAAAGTAGTGTCACAAACAGAACATGTCTAACCTATTAGCAGTTAGCATGAAGCTTTGGGCTTTTGTAGCCATTGCATCATCACATCTTTAGAGTATCATGGCTGCAAACATGTAATTCACAGATTTGAGGTGTTTCACAGACTGCTTTACCTTACCCTGTGAGGGCTGGTGGTGTTCACCATGAACTACTTTATCACAAAACAGAAGCTAAGTCTTTAATTGCTGCTATTGTGAGGGAACAAATTCAAACAATTGAACTGCTGTGTCTTGGAGCCGCACCCAGTGTTGTGGCCGTTAATTTTTTCCAGTTTATTTTAACCTCTTTCAGCACTTTTGGAGGTTGTGGTGTATTTTAAGTGACCTAACAAAGACAAAATATTTGGCTACACCCTCCACCAAACTGCTTGAAAAGTAGTGTAACAGCAGTATTTCACTGCTAACTGAACATTTCAGTCTATTTCACCTCTGGCCACAGTCAGCACGCACCACTAATGGGTGTGTGCAGAGGTGAACTCTGGGTGCACTCCAAAACCTGACTGGCATTGAACTGGCTTATGCTGTGTGAATGTTGGGTCAAAAAAAGGTTATTGTATTACTTTACAACACAAAAACAGAGATATTGTGTTGCATGATATGAAAGAGTATGGTCATTTTACAGAGTCGTATCATATTAGCCAACTCGGGTACAGGCTGCATTCCATTTAATACTTTGAATAATGGTGACTTTAACATTAAGTAGAATGCAATGTTAATGCAACATTCACCTGATTTCTCTCTACCCTTAAGGGAAATGTAATGCCTTAATGCTCTGAGATGGAATATAAAATGCTAGAAAGTTTTATCAGTTTGGTTACAGTATTTTGTTGTGTTCAGATCCGTGTGAACAGTGTGAACCCCACAGTGGTGATGACTGACATGGGTCGTCGGGGCTGGAGTGACCCTGAAAAAGCCAAGGCCATGATGTCCCGCATCCCGCTAGGCCGCTTTGCAGGTTAGGCATACTGTGTACATATTGTTGCCTTCAGGCACAGCAGAACATTGCAGGTGGCTATGGGCATCGGGGGCAAATACACAGATTCTCTTTGGATTGTTCCTCTCTATAGTACACTGTGTACTACTGCCTTTCTGTACAACCCAAGGCTGCAGGGTCCACTTTCCATACCTGCTTATGCCGTGCAGGGTGGTAGGGTGCTGACACAGGACGCATTAGGTGACAGGCAGGGTCAACACTGGCCAGGCCACCAGTCTATCTGGTTTATATCTGCACAGCTCAGGGAATAGTCTCTGTTTCTGAGAGATAAATGGATGGATATCAGAATGCAACAACAACTTTGTGACAGTATTGTGTTCACAGATTGTTTCCACTGGCCTATATAACACACCAGCACAAGCTTGGCATCGATTTTCTCATTTCATTCTCACAATAAAAGCAAATACGTGTCTGTCACCATCTAGATTTTTTTTTTCTTGTCTCCTTAAATAGACCTGGTCTGGTCCCGCCCCTTAGCCTCCTCAGTGTGTTGAAAAGGAACCTGATGGTAAACTCAGAGTCCAGAATGTAAATTCCATCCTGGCTGTGGAACAATGGAGCAGCTGCTCACCCTTGCCTGCCAATGCAGTCTACATGTGTTTTGTGGACTTAGAGAGTGCTTGCACGTCCTCTTATCATGGGAATGAGAACTGTGTTCCCATTCTCTGAGGTCTAGAATGTTCCTAGTCACTGCTGAACTCACAGATTGTGCCTGGTCATCAATTCAGTTGACGATTTTCACAGTTAGGATCTTGAGGTACAGCCAAAGAGCAGTATCAAATCTAAATCAAATCTTTTTGCCAATATGGGTATATAAACTAATGTGTTTAATGTGTGCATACTGTGTGCAATTTTAATTTGTGCAATTATAGTTTTAAAGGCTCTGGAGTTGAAAGGCAGCACTGTTTCATCCACAGTGCTACAGTCGTGTATATTCATTTTATGAATGTGTCATCCAAAGTGTTAACTAAGCTCCCTGTGTCTGTGTGCAGAGGTGGAGGACGTGGTGAGCAGTATTTTATTTCTGCTGAGTGATAAGAGCAACATGACTAATGGTGTCATTCTGCCAGTGGATGGAGGTTTTCTGGCCTGCTGACCAACTTGAGCCTCAGCACACAGCTCCTTGTTCAGAGGGAAAACCTCATTTCATTGTGCACCTAGAGGTCAATCTTATTCACTAAATAAACTGAAGGCATAAATGACAGATTTCCTGTTTCTTGTGCTTATTTGTATATATGTAATGTTGGAGTATGTTAAGGTGTTCACTTTTCTTTGTCATTTATTTCAATGATGTTGTATATCATTGTCAGTAAATGAGACACAGGGTGGGTAGCTGCAGGCCAGTCACAGTGCCCCCTGTCCACCTCTTCATATGGGTGGTTTAGAATAAAGGAAGAGTGAAGAATAAATCATGACTGAAAGCAGAGTACCTTACATATACATTTGTATTTAGTATACAAAAAATTGAAATATTTCACCACACAGACATGTGAAGTAATACAAAATAAGACAAACAATTGGAACAACTATACAAGTCATCTTACATTACATACGTACATGGCCAATGCATTTCATCATACAGTCTCTCCTAAGAATTACAGTGGGTCAAATAATCAGAGAACTTCCATGCAATAATAGATTACAATTTTTTGCTGCATTTCTCAGCTACATTTCGACACGTTAGCTAGTCAGGATCACAGGACATGATTTAACCACACAGTTTGCTATGCCAACCAAAGACAGCATGACAGAGTGGACTGCAGTACTGCCTCTCACCACTTGAGGGAGACAAACACACTGCAGGCCCGCAACCATACAGAAATGCATTTTATAAAGGTGCAATCTGTGCTCTTTGCCACAGTGACAAACTCCACAAAGATTGGCCCCTTTATTGTACACTGTTAACAACACTTCTAACTTCAACATGAGTTACTATAATCCCTTCAGTTTTAACAGTTTTAGTTTTAAGAGCTAAATATTTGAGTACATGTAGATAGATATCCATAACACATTCCTTTTCTAAGGTTTATTCTGTACATCACTAGATCTCAGTGATATCCATTTTTTATTTCTTTATGCCAGAGTGTTGAAAAGTTGTGTATTACTACAATACAATATGAAATAGTACCAAAAACTAAACACTAAAAAAAAAAAACTGCCTTAAAACAATACTGTCTTTTATGCACTACCCCAAACTGTCAGACAAGGCTGTCTCACTGATACAGACAAGTGCTTGTTCACACTCTCTCTCTCACACACACACACACACACACACACACACACACACGAGGTCATATACATGCCAGTGACCACCACACACACTCTCTCTCTCACTCACTCACATTGGTATAGCTATCTTTGTGAGGACACTCGTTTACATAATGCCTTCCTTAGCCCCTTACTCTAAACTTAACCATAATAACTAAATGCCAAATGCCAACGCTGCCTTCATCCTAAACCTAGTTCAAACCTGAATCCTAAAACCAAGTCTTAACCCTCAAACAACCTTTAGAGGGGTGTGAGAAGGTGAGAACCAGCTAAAATGTCCTCACTTTCCCAAAATGCCCTCACACCCATGATATAAAATTTAAGAAGTTCCTCACAATGCTGGCCATACAAACACACACACACACACACACACACACACACACACACACACACACACACACACAGGAGAACAGAGACAAGATCTAAACAATGGGATAAATTAAGACAGAATATTTTAAGACCCATGCAAGCTTTTCCACCCCCAGAGGCAGAACTCAGGCAGCAAGGTTGTACAGCCCCCATGTTTGGCATGCTCGTCTGTCACATGTTCACAGTTATATGAAGTTACCCAAAGACGCCTGACTAAGATCACGTGTTTGTCAAGAACAAGTGTGTTCATGCAACCAATCTTTTTTTCCCCACATGATAAAAGTATAGCACAGATTGGGTAAAATGTTTGTTTCGGCCATGGTTCATCTCTCAGTGTTAATAAACTTGTACTCATCTGTTGAAATGTGAGGCAGGGCAAGAAATGTGAGCAATCAGACAACTGTTACAATTAGCCATGGCCAGCTTAACCACTAGGTTAAGGGCAAAAAGAAACAGTTGGGCCCCACACACCCCTACTCCTTTAACTTTGTTGTTACAGCTTTTCTAACCTACAACACCGCCTAGCCCCACATTTTCTGTGTGGTAGTTTGATTAAACATATTGATCTCAGAATGTAGAACATATAAGCACAAAACTGAAATGAAGGCCTTGAAACTACATTGTGACAGAGGGGCCCTTGTAAGAGCAGAGTCTCAAGATCAGGTAATAAAGGCACCTTAAGGCCCTAGTGAAGGATTTAAGTTAATTGTCAGGTTTGGGTTGTCCTGTTACTGAGACCAGGGGTAAAAAGCTATGGGCCCCTGTTGAGGCCCTCTTACTGTTGTTTGGTTTTATAGGGCCCCTCTATCAGACAGGCCACAGAAGCCACCTTAAAGCCCTTCACATTTGTTTATTGGTTCATCAGCCATATGGCCACAAAGTGAACTTGGGGCATATCCTTAGTGTTTTACCTTCATTTTCTCTTCCAAACAAGTTTGACTAACCAGGAAGGTTGTTTCCAACAAATCTCAGCAAGATAACTTGGTGAACACAATGTTATCATAACAACAGAAACTGGCTGAAAGTGCAAAAAGCGCCTCAATTTCTCATTCTCATTTTACGTAGTGAAGCCACACTATATCCATTTTAGAACTGTGCTCTGTGAAATTTCATGAGTGCAGGCAGTGATATTTTCCAAATGCTGCCTTAGATCAGAAGCTGAGGGTAACATCCGACCTGAAGGTGTAGTCACAGTTCATTTCCTATCTAGTCAACACTGCATTCATTTAAGCAAGCATGGCAGAGAAAGAAAAGATGTAGAACTATGAAGACAACTAATAGAAACCTTTATCAGCCCTCATGGCAATTTGATGTGGTACAAATTGGTGGATAGTCAAATCTTTCAGACCCTATGAGCGATTAAGTAAGAGTAAAAAAAATCAGATTAAATATTGGTCTTGTTACCAATATTACATTGAAAAACATCAATAGAAAGAAATCAATCTCAGCAGTGCACACTCACTCTCATTAGTGTTCTCTCTCATCCTCTCAGAGAAGTAGTGGCTGTTGTTCATGGTGATGTAGTGTAGTGTAATAGTGGTTCCTCCTCAAAACATGGTGCACCTCTTTCCCCTCTTCTTCACAGGCGGAGGGCAGAGTACGGCTCGGATTGCCTCGTCAAATACCGTCTTCAGGCCTCTCTGGGTCAGCGCGGAACATTCCAGGTACTTCACAGCCCCTGAGGACCAGGAAAAAGGCATGATGTTAAACAGTTCTCAGCCACACTGCTTCTAGTCTAGTATAGCAGTACTACAGGAAGGTTCAAATGGTACCAGTAGTACAACTGAAAGGCTTAGGTTAGGTCATTAACTTTTTTGTTTGTTTTTATTTTCTTCTGAGCACAGTTCCTTTTGGTTATTTTGCTTAAAGTAACAGATCAACATTTTTGCTTTAGCAGGGACAAACAGATAGCCAAGCTCTCTCTAAGGTTGATAAATACACCTTCCAACACCTCGAAAGCACACTGGAGGACATGCCCATAATTTCCAGAAATGTTCAGCTCTTTCTTTAAGTCTTTGATTTTAGGTCACTTTAGCTGATTCATACACTGATAACAAACAACTGTAGTAGAAATGTATTGTAAAATGTAAGATCCTGGCCGTTGCTTCCAGTTCCTGTTCACTGGATGTGGTTCCTTGATCAAACTTGGCTGAAATACGACTGCAGCAAATTTCTGGCAGCTTACAGGTAAGCTAGTAATCACTCATCATTTGTAGCCAAGTCATTTATAATTAATGACTGAATCTTCCTACATAACATATCCAGATGTACTGTACATAGCCTCACCAATCTCTCTTGCCATGGCCAGGCCCTGCGGGTAGGTGATGGGGGACAGCTTCTTGTCTCGCAGCCTCTCAATGGTGTCCTTGTCATCTCGCAAATCCAGCTTAGTGCCAACCAGGATGATGGGTGTGTTGGGGCAGTGGTGTCTAACCTCAGGGTACCACTGAGGCACCACACACACAGAGAAATGAACAGACAGGCGTACATACAGTCAGGGAAAAAAATGATTTGAACCCCAGCTGATTTTGTAAGTTTGCCCACTAGCAAAGAAATGATCAGTCTATAATTTCAATGGTAGGTTTATGTGAACAGTGAGAGACACAACAATAACAAAAAACAATCAATCCAGATTCCAAACTCTTCACCATGGCCAAGACCAAAGAGCTTTCCAAGGATGTCAGGGACAAGATTGTGGACTTACACAAGGCTGGAATGGGCTACAAGACCATTGCCAAGCAGCTGGGTGAGAAGGTAACAACAGTTGGTGTGATTATTTGCAAATGGAAGAAACATATATTAACTGCCAATCTCCCTCGGCCTGTTGCTCCATGCAAGATCTCACCTCGTGGAGTTTCAATGATAATGAGAACAATGAGGAATCAGCCCAGAACTACTCGGGAAGAACTTGTCAATGATCTCAAGCCAGCTGGGACCATAGTCACCAAAAAAACTGTTGGTAACACACTACGCTGTGAAGAACTGAAATCCTGCTGTGCCCGCAATGTCCCCCTGCTCAAGAAAGCACATCTACTGGCCTGTTTGAAGTTTGCCACTGAACATCTGACTGATTCAGAGGAAGACTGGGTGAAAGTGTTGTGGTCAGATGAGACCAAAATCGAGCTCTTTGGCATCAACTCAACTCGCCGTGTTTGGAGGAGGAGGAATGCTGCCTGTGACTCCAAAATCACCGTACCTACCGTCAAATATGGAGGTGGAAACATTATGCTTTGGGGGTGTTTTTCTGCCAAGGGGACAGGACAATTGCACCGCATCAAAGGGAGGATGGATGGGGCTGTGTACCACCAAATCTTAGGTGAGAACCTCCTTCTCTCAGTCAGGGCATTGAAAATGGGTCGTGGTTGGGTATTCCAGCATGACAATGATCCAAAACACACGGCCAAGGCAACAAAGGATTGGCTCAAGAAGAAGCATATTAAGGTCATGGAGTGGCCTAGTCAGTCTCCAGACCTTAATCCCATAGAAAATCTGTGGAGGGAGCTGAAGGTTCGAGTTGCCAAACATCAGCCACAAAACATTAATGACTTGGAGAGGATCTGCAAAGAGGAGTGGGTCAAAATCCCCCCTGAGATGTGTGCAAACCTTGTGGCCAACTACAAGAAACATCTGCCCTCTGTGATTGCCAACAAAGGTTTTGCCACCAAGTACTAAAGCACGTTTTGCAAAGGGATCAAATACTTATTTCATTCATGAAAATGCAAATTACTTTATAACTTCTTTTGTAATGCATTTTTCTGGATTTTTTTGTTATTGTTGTGTCTCTCACTGTTCACATAAACCTACCATTGACATTGTAGACTGATCATTTCTTTGTTAGTGGGCAAACTTACAAAATCAGCTGGGGTTCAAATCATTTTTTTCCCGACTGTATGCATATACAAAGGACAAAGTCAGTGAGGAAGGACAAAGAAAACATTTAGCTGGATACAGGGGCAGCTTGACCAGTGCCTTTCCACGATGACATTCAACATACTCTGTGAGTGGTGGATATAGAAAACTGTTTTTAATAGATCTGTCTGAAAAGAAGCACAGCTGTATGAACACAACATCCTCAGGCAATACAGACTCTACAGAGGGAAGTTAGACCGTAAATAGTGTGATTTCATATGAGAGCATCTTTTGATGCTCAGCAGACCAAACCACAGTCGGCCATCATGCTGCCTCTGCAGAGTGCTTGACTTCGTTCAGACCTCGTCTTACAACGTGTCCCTAAACTGCTCCCCCCTGGGGGAATGAGTTCAAATCCAGACTGTTCTAAGTCGAGGTCTGGACTGGTGGGGCAGCGATGTGATAAGCCAGGTGGAGCCATAGATGTGCCTCATTGTGGTCAGACTCGGCGTGGAAGGGGGGGGGTCAGTCAGCCTACTGACCTTAGCTCGGACGTTCTCAAAGGACGCCGGACTGACCAGGGAGAAGCATATCAAGAACACATCCTGGGAGAGAACCAGAAAGAGGGCTGGTTGAGAGGGAGATCTGCATGTGTGTATGTTTGTGTGTGTGTACAGTATCTGTGTATGGAACCACAAAGGTTATACTTCATTTTGTAATGACAGACGAAAGCATATTTGTGATGACTGTGTTGCCAGAAATAAGATTTGTCCAGTGACTAATCACTAATTTTTCAGTAATCAATTGAATTAAATAGGTGCCTCAATATCAGTTTTTATAATGTAGAATAAAAGGGAGATATCTGATTATGCAACCTAACCAACGTGATCTCCTCATTAAGTCAGGCATTATACTGTAGGAAAAATATTTTGTAATTTGAGGTAATTTGTTATTTTGTGCCATGCCATTTAGTAAATTTACTAAACTTAACAGTTTTTTAACATTCTGGGCTATGTAGGTAGTTGCAGACTGTTTACATCACTGTGTATATGTCTTTAGTAAGTTAGTTGTGTCAGCGAGGTCGGTCAGATGCCAACAGTTCCCTCCTGGCAAATACTTGGTGTAAACATTTAGTATCAATTTGTAAGTAAGAGCTAGTTTGTTTGGTGCAACATATCATAAGTTAGCGACATGTAAATCGTAATGCTTTGGTTTTATATAGGCTAAACAACTAATGCAGCCAGCTCCACATGCACATGCTTGTCCTGTGCTTTAGTCTTAAAATGTTGTATACCTAACACTTCAGAGGCTTTAGGCAGAGCCCTTTCAGAACTGAGCATGTTACTTTATGTGTGAGTCCTTGAGTGTGTGTGTATGTAGTTCAGGGGAAGAAGTTCGAATACCGTCTGAGGGTAAGACAGTGGTCTGAGCCTATCGTAGTCCTCTTGTCCTGCTGTATCCCAAAGGCCCAGATTCACTGGTTTCCCATCCACCATCACATTAGCAGAGTAGTTGTCAAAGCTGCAGGAAAGATTCTGCACTGAGTAAGATGCAGTTAAGAGAGTGGGTGCATACACCAAGTGGATTTTGTTGTATTTCCAAACATATTTGCCTAAGGAATTGAAGTATGAGGAGCTCAAGTGAAACCAGCCTTATTCCACTGACACAAAATGACTAAGCCAGCCTTCAAGCATAAGTATGTTGTGTAGTTCACTCTGTATGTTTAAATAAGGTCGGCTCTATTTCAAGAAGGGATTGTCTTAAAGGAACCTTCTGGTATTCGTCAAATGGCTTTTATACTTACAGTGGGTACGGAAAGTATTCAGACCCCCTTAAATTTTTCACTCTTTGTTATATTGCAGCCATATGCTAAAATCATTTAAGTTCATTTTTTTCCTCATTAATGTACACACAGCACCCCATATTGACAGAACAACACAGAATCTTTGACATTTTTGCAGATTTATTAAAAAAGAAAAACTGAAATATCACATGGTCATAAGTATTCAGGCCCTTTGCTGTGACACTCATATATTTAACTTAGGTGCTGTCCATTTCTTCTGATCATCCCTGAGATGGTTCTACACCTTCATTTGAGTCCAGCTGTGTTTGATTATACTGATTGGACGTGATTAGGAAAGCCACACACCTGTCTATATAAGACCCTACAGCTCACAGT